CTGTGCCCATTCCCATTCCCACCTCTGTGGCCATCCCAGGAATTTCTCCCTCCTGTTCCCCATCCCAAATTTCACCTTTCCCTTCCCAGCCAAGCCCCAAAATCAGAGCAGCCTGTCCAGGAATCCCAGGCTGGAATCCCAGTTTTTATTTTGGGGAAGGGAAACAGTGGGATTAGAATTGCCAAATTCTTGGAATCCATCCCAGAATTCCTTCCCCTTCCTGAAAAAATCAATCCAGCAGGGAAGGATGGAGGAGGCTCAGAGGTGCCAACCCCAAATCCTTTGTGGTTTTTTTTTGGGGTTTTTTTTGGGTTTTTTTTGTTTTTTTTTTTACTATTATTTGACTTTTCAGCTAACACTTTCATTCTTGAAAATCATGGAATGTGCTCCCAGAGCACAGCTGAGCTGCAGGTCAGCTTTTCCCTGGATTTGGATTTTTTAGGGAAGAGCTCAGGAGCAGGGAGGAGGAGCAGCAGCATTCCCAATCCTATTTACCTGTTTAGGAATCCTGCTGAGCCCGCTGAAATTCCCTGTGGCAAGCAGGTAAAAAATCCCAAAAAACCTCAGGAATGGGCTGTGATCCCCTCCAGGAAATCTGCAAAAAAAAAAAAAATCCCCAAAAAAGCCCTGGAATGGGCCTTGATCCCCTCCAGGAAATCTCCCAAAAATCAAAAAAAAAATCTCTGGAATGAGCCTTGATCCTTCCAGGTAATCTCCAAAAAAAAAAAAAAAAATCCCAAAAAACTTCTGGAATGGGCTTTGATTTTTCCAAGTAATATCTCAAAAATCCTCTGGAATGGGTTATGATTTCTCCAGGTAACCTTCTCCCAAAAAAAAACCCCCAAAAACCTCTGGAATGGGCTTTGATCCCTCCAGGAAATCTCAAAAAAAAATCCCCAAAAATCTCTGGAATGGGCTAAATCCCAAAAATCCTCTTCTCCTTCCCTACATTTTATGTCTGCTGCTTTTTTTTAAAAATTTTTATTTTATTTTTGATCAATTTTTTAAAAAAAATTATTATTTCTTTGTGGAATTCCCAATTCCCAGCTTTGGCAGGAGGCAAAAATGGAATTTTTGGGATTCCCTTTTTTTTGATTTGCAAAGGTTTTCACTCCTGTGGTGTTTTTTTCAAAAGGCAAAAAATTCTCGTGTTTTAATTTCATTTTAATTTTTAAATTTTAACAGTAATCAGTTCCTGTTTAGTTTGATTTTATCCAGGAACTTTGAGGGTGTTTTTATTCTGGATGTGTGTGGGAAAAAAACACTTTTTGTTTATCTGCATTTACAGAAATTGTTTTAGAAAATAAAATTATTGAAAATAAAATTATTGAAAGGTTTGAAATTCTCCTTAACCAGGCAACTTTAATTTCCAAATCTTGATTTTCTGCTCTGTTCTTGGAGCTAAAATTCAAATTTAACTCCATAAAATGAACCAGGGCAGCTCTTTTCTATTATTTTATAAATTTGGCAATGTGTGAATTGAGGAATTTTTTTTTCAACTTTTGCTTTCCATCTTGAGAAAAATCATTTTTAAAATAAAATTCCAGAGATTTCTTTCCATTTGGAAAAGTAAAGAGTCGTGGTAACACTTTTGTGAGGGAGGCAAAAAATACAAAATTCAAGTTTTTTTAGCAGAGGAAAGTACAGGAAATTCCTCCTGGGATTTGTAGGGGTTCTGTCCTTGGCATGATGCTCGTGGGAGGAAAATAGAAAAATAAAAATATAAAAAAAAAAAAAAAATTTAAAATATAGAAAAATAAAAATATAAAAAGAAAAATAGAAAAGGAAAAATGGAAATAAAAATTAAAAATAAAAATAGAAAAATAGAAATAGAAACATAGAAAAATAAAAATAGAAAATTAGAAAAAACTATAAAAATTAAAAATATAAGAATAGAAAAATAGAAAAATTCAAATATAAAAAATATATAAAAATATAAAGCAACCCTATTTTTTTTGCCTTGTTCAGAAATTGAAAAAATCCAGAAGGGTGAACCAACGAAGAAGGATGAGGAAGAAAATTACCTGGATTTATTTTCTCACAAGAATATGAAACTGAAAGAACGAGTTCTGATCCCTGTCAAACAATACCCCAAGGTGAGAAAAAA